GATCGACTAATTTCTTCTTGCATTAAGAACTTCAAAAAGTGAAACCTATTGAATCTGGATCAGTTTTCGATGCTGATTCTAAAAATCTAAAAGTAAGTTTCCGTAAATGCTTCGGGATAGACGAGAATCCAAAGAACTTCCTTCAAAAGGCAATTATTTTCCAAAACCTTTAACTTTGCACTTGAGTACCCTAGAAGGTCGAGTGATGTCTCATTTTATTTATTTTTTGCTTATTCAACATGTTTAGAACAACAGGGAGAAATAAATATAGAAAGAATCTTTGTATTCTTTTCCTCTGGGTATGGCTAAAAGTAACAGACTCACGTGATTGATCAAGCATAGTATTAGTATTAATACACACAAAATTATGTCTAAAGTGGAAAGAGGGAGTTTATTGTTTTATTCGATCTTAACAGAATGAAGTATTCAAATGTGTTATTATCACTTGTACTGTTCTCGTTCGTACTTTACAATCGTAGGAGCAGTGCGCTCGAAGTTCTCAGTGATGATTACACAGAGTCAAAATTATTAAGCCTGTTACGTGAAAAACGTGATGTTACTCACATTGACGTGTCAACAGAAGATTTATTGAACATTGGTGTTGAAGCAGCAGGAACTTTACTGGAAGAAATACCTGGTGTTGGACCATTTGTTAGTATAGCTTTCAAAATCATATGGGAACTGTTTGGTCCGAAATATGATACGAAAGAAGAGCAACTAAAGAAAGAAGTTATGGATTACGTTAAGAATTTTGTTCAGGGATCAATCGCTAAAGAAAAAGCTAACACTTATTTGGGTAAACTGAAAGACGTACGTGCACAATTAAACTTTTATAATGCATCATCAGTTGATTGGTTCATGGATAAGAACAGTAGTGATAAACGTATAATTGTACGTAATAAATTTGGAGAAGCCTATGGGAAAGTAACAGGAATTGTTAATGTTGGTAGTGCTTCAGATTATCTCTATGCAATTCTTGCTTCAACAACTTTGGCACATCAAATCATACAAACACTACTGAAAGATGTTACACGTTTTGGTGAAGACTGGAATTATGGTTCGAATATCTTGGCTCAGTACGAAAATGATAGACTAACATATTCAGAAGCTTCCATGAGTGAAGTTGCCGACGCATTTAATCAGTATGATCGAGTTGCTGGTGACGGAAACGGAGATTTAACTTACAACGACCTGCCAACATATCCACAGGTGATGGTACGAGCATGTTTCTTACAACGAACACTCATTTATCTACGTACAGAATTGTATCCATTTGGTGTACCAACACAGGTAGCTGATGGTGCTCAATTGCCGGCCAATAAAAAATATTATCAGATCTATGGGGAGTATGCGACAAAACCTTATCTTGATAATGTAGCATACAAAAATGATAAGGCACGTCATAGACTGGGCGAAAATTGTATCCTTGGGCGTATCGCACCGTACGAGAAACTATGTCTCTCTCGTGGTATTGTATGTTTCAAGCATGTTTTCACATCGATCTACACTGAATACCAAAAAAAAATAATCTCACAAATATTTACAAAATTTTATTCTGTTGGTAAAAGTGGGCAGTATTTTCTTCGAATGTACTTTACACCATTGGGAGGACAGAGTATCAAAGATATTACGTTACAACTTGCACTTGGTGCTAAGGACATTATATTTCATCCATCGAAAGAAATCATTCAGCCATTTCCAGTAAAAGAAATTGTACCAAGTCGTTTAAGCGGACGCGGTGTAACATACAAATACGCATACTACGATCAATCAACAGAAATCCATTTTTACTGTTTAACACCAGTCAACAAGACTAACAACGGAACCAGCAGTAACAGTATCACAATCAATACTGGACAATCATTTCGATTTGGACTTGACTATCAACAAAACTGGATTTTTCGTGCACTTGAACTCTATCGAGTTGATCAGAATGATACAAATACGTGTCAGTAATCAAGAGCGGGGAGTCACGATTCTTCTGCTTTTTATTATTTATTTTCCTTTAATTAGAACTTGTATTAGCCGAATTAGAGATCGGTGTATCATCGTGCAAACCTGTTTAGAATTTGACCATTTTTTGTGTAAGACAAACTGGGGCTAAATACCAGTATTAAGATTTATATGTTATTATATCTTTTTCTGTTTTATTAGACAATTCATTTTGTTCTGGACTACCATTTCATTCAACTCAGCCAAAACGACAAACGGATTTCCAAAACAGACACCTCACATGATTAGAATTTTTGATAAAAATTTCAGGTTTCTGCCTCTTATCATTTCTGAGAAAATGAATTTTTACTGAACAATTCACTTCTTCCATCTTAACCACTGACCTCATTTGCCATATATATATAACTTTTGAAGAGAGCAATTCAAAACCGTAAACAGTTTTTCAAAATTTCAGTTTGATGTCTACTAGATGTGATAAAAATGTCAGCCAAATCGGTTACTATCAGTCTAACCATCTGCCTGACGTTTTCAGAAAATGGCTGCTAATAAGTGCATTATTTTCATCCTCTCTTTACTGTGAGCAAACAATAGAAATTTTATAAGAGAAAAATCAAGTGTTATATCATATTATCATCATCATATGTTCTGTTCTGTTCTATCATATGTTATCATATGTCTTCTTTCTATAATTACTTCACGTGCACATCGCGGGACACCACTCACCTTCACACCTGGTAGAACTTGATGTTAAATAATAGAGAGAGAGAGACAAATAAAACATAATATTCTATGTTTTGATGCGTATCGAAACATAAGCACTCAAATATTATTCGTAAATAACTACTATTTCGACTCTGTTCATTAAATCGTTTTGCTATCACAATAGTTGAAACATGCTAGCATTCTTCTTCTTATTCTTATTGAACAGATATATTGAAAACTCAAGCAGAGTTAGAAACTGAGTTGAACGGTGTACTGCTTTGTAAAACTTAAGTTTCAACATCTATTTGTTTCTTTCATATAACAATCCAACTTTGTAAAACGAAAATGTGCTTGTTTTTTTAAGCTTGACCTTACCAGATATCGCATGCGACGCGTTACAACATGGCTTCTTCAAATAACATTTCATGCGAATCAGCTTTTGATATTGATTACGCTGTAGACTCCTGTGGGGCGAGCCGCGAACCTTGTTCTGTTTGTTCAGTAGAACAGACGGGCTTGGGATAAAATGACAAAAATAAATTTATTGGTTTTGGTTCGGGGCAAGATAAAAATTTCACGGGCTTGGACTTACGAAGTCGGTACAGTTAGCAGAAAAATGTTGTTCCGTAAGTTTTGTCTTTCGATTGTAATTGTGACCGGCCTCGTAAGTCCAAGCCCGTGAAAT